GTTGTGATACCTTGTGTTGCAATTAAATATACACCTGTATCATTTTATCACAACACAAACACCAAAACAATTTTTTACATAAGTCGATTATTTACAGTTTTGCATACCTTCATTTTTTTACCTTTTCGCAAAAAGGCGCAATTACAAATTTGCTAATATTTGTTATTTATTAACTCAATACAGTTTTATCTTTTAGATTTAGTGAAAAAATAATTTTTTTTGTGCACGGATACTGATTTTGGTGTGTTTTAACAATTGAATTGTGTATTTTTATCGGTTTAATATTAATTTGAGAAACATTTGCGCAATTATCGCAGGGCCTACAAATTTAGTATCACCATCTTTTTATTCTACCGGGCCTGCGCTTTCAGAAAATATATGGTTTGGGGGGTCTTTTACAAACGCTAGCAACGCAGCAGTTGAAAATCAAATCAATAGGAAAAAATTGCAGAAAATTCAAAAATGGCTTGGCCAGCTGATTTGAAAAATGTTCCGGAGGGCTTGGCAGCGAAAGGGTTAAAGGATAAAGTTTATTTTGACACACCTTTTCACATCTTCTAGCAATATGTGGCATTCCATCACAGAACATCTCAAAGTCACAAAGGAACATCGCACCGGAAGTCATCCCTCTTCCAAACACAGTGATCACAGGTCTGAATGGGGGGCAGGTAGCTATAGAATGCTATCGCTAAAAGTGAGTTCCATTTTGACTGATATTTGAAATTTGTAGTACCACCATTAACCGGTTTGATTTTTTTCATTTTTTTGTTTCCATTTTTGTCTCTATTTTTAAAAGTGGACCTTTATCCATTTCTTTAAAATAACAACAAACACACCTTTAGAAATGTTTAGTAATGACAATCTACAAACACATAATTCTAGATGATTGCAGGCTTTGTATTCTTTGCATACTGTATTTCTCTTTTCTTCCCTAGTCTTCTGACAGTGGCCATGTTTACTAAGGTCAGATTACTACATAGTATTTGAGGTTGAATAAAGACATTAGTCCATCAAGTCCAATCTATTAGGATCTCATTCTAGGAGTACCTGTACCCCTGTATATTGCGGTCCCTTAAGAAATCGTCCAAAAGTTTCTTGAACAATTCCACATTATTTGCTGAAATCACCGCCTGTGGCAGTGAGTTCCAGACCCTAACTGATCTTACTGTGAAGAACCCCCTTCGCCCCTTGTGCTGGAATTTTTTTTCCAATTTCTGCTAGCTCTCCTTTTACTTCCTGGATTTATGGCACATGTGATCAGGACATGTGACCATGCACATAATCTCAGGGGAGGAAAATGCTTTTCCCTGAGATCTTGTGAGATTACAGATGAGATTTCCCAGCAATGCTCTGCCGATGACAAGGCAAACCCGCTGTGCATTGCTTTGGCAAACTGAAGTAATTTTGCCCTTTCAAAGCAGGAAGTCAATGTTCTGCAAGTGTAAGTATTTCAAAATCACAGCATTTTACACCTGACATGTCTATGTAATTATTAATCATCATACATAGAGGGGTGTATTGGTAGAATTAGATTTTGAGTGTAAACGTCCGCTTTAAATAAACTTAAATCACTTGAACTATGCATGCATATTGACACTTTACTGTGACAGTTAACCTTCAATAGAGATGTTCCGAAATTGATCTATGAAGCTGAAGTTGGTACTGATATCTTGTGTCTTAAGAAACATCTTCAGAACATGGCCAAAGAGGAGCACTGCTTCCAGATATCCAGCAGCATAGTCATCTTTTAGCTAAAATTGGAAGAAAAAAAAACACTTTGAGATGAAATTGCAATTAAAAAAATACAGATTACTGTCATGGTAAAGAAATGAGAGTGAAAATGGTATCAAAATGGTTTTCATATATATTCCTTGGTATGAATGATGCTGACAAGTATCCTGAGGGTGAAAAGTAGAGCATCCTAACTCAAAACATTTGCAGGTTTTTAAACCTGAACAACTTTCCTCTAGTTTTGCCATAACACATACAATAGATTCAGATTAGGAAGGTGAGATAATTCTGTTAAAAAAAAAATGTTTACAGAAATTTCTAAGGAACCTGTGGAAGGTAGAGTCCGAAGTGGAGTGAGGATAAGGCTAGGTGGTGTCAAGCAAGCAGAGTCAGCAACAGACGGGCAATGAAGTACAAAATCAGGATCCAGGAGAGTAGTCGAGAAACATGCTGAGGTCTAACACAAACAAGCAGCGAGGTACAAAATCGGCAGGCAGAAGGGTAGTCAGAAGACAGGACAAAGACAAAGCAATCCAGTGGTCAATTCAGCAGCAGAACACACAGGAAACAAACCCAAATAAATGGGCTCAGAGCACAGGAAGTGCTCAGTATTTAAAGTCTGAGATAATTGGGGATTGACTGCAGCTGGCAAGCAAGTGGAGCTAGAGAGGCCAGAAGAAAAACTGCTGAATTGAAACCTGCAGTGCTAAGCTGAGTCCTCCTCGTGGCTGAAAGGCAATGCATCAGTACTTCTATCCTAGAGACCCAGGTTCAAATCCCCACAGCTACAAAGCAGGTGCTGGGCAGACAAGCATCTGACAGGGCCCCCCTCCTGGGGCCTAAAGAGGTTTAGTGGGAAAAGCTGTATGAAAGACACGTATGAGAACAGAAGCATTTACATTCTTTGCAGGTATCCAGGAGTGTTCCGTAACAGGAAAACCCTTCCAGTGGACATGTTGTTGGATCCAAAATGTTAGACACCTCATACTCATGTTGCCCATCGATGAGAATTGGCGGTGGTGGTCGAACTACCTTAGTAGTGACTGAAGACTGCCTTCTTGAGAAGAGAAATATGGAAAACAGGATGCATTCGAAAAGAAGAGGGCAATTTCAGGCAATAAGTCACTGGCCCAATTCGTGAAATCACTTTGTAGGGACCAATGAATCGAGTGCCCAATTTGGTTGATGGTTGTTTAAGTCTGAAATGTTTAGTGGATAACCAGACTCTGTCTCCCACAGCATATGGATGTATGTACCGCCTTCATTTATTAGCATGAAATTTATATTTTTCTGCAGCCTTCTGTGAAAGGACACAAATCTTTCTCCAATGCAGCAACAAATTCTTCACCCGAGAGTCTGCTGCTGGTACACCAGAAGATGGTTGAGGCAGGGGAAATGATTGTGGGTGATAGCCTAAAGCTGCATGGGATGGTGTAGTATGCAGAGCACCGTGCCAATGGGAGTTGATGGCAAATTCTGCTAAAGGCAAAAGCTCAGACCAATTGGAATGTAGCGAGATGGCATAGTGGCGAAGATAGGTCTCAAGCATCTTAATTTTACGCTCAGTTTGTCCATTAGACTGTGGGTGAAGCAAGGTAGAGATTGACACAGTAGTCCCTAACTTCTTGCAGAAGGCTCTCCAGAATTAAGATATGAACTGACCCCACAGTCTGACACAATACTGGCAGTGGCGGACCTATGGAACAATGGGCCCTGGTGCAAGATTTTTTTTACCCCCCCCCCCCCTAGCCCTTACAATCCCCAAGGCCCCCCCCGCCCCACA